CATTTGGCTACCTATGACTTAATTTTTCCCTCCTGATCTTGTGAGTACAACAGCTTGAAGAATGCCTGGGAAGGGGGCTATGCTTTGTAGAGAAGCAGATCTTCTGCAGGGCACTGAGCAACTGGTGTGTGTTGAGTTCTCTGCTCTGACCTCTGATTTATATCCAGAGGTGTTTGAGTCTGGAATGACTTATTCCTCTCTTTTCTCTTAAATTCCTCCCTGATCGTGGGGAATTTCTGGGAAACCTGGAGTGCAGAAACTTTTCTGCCAGTCTCCTGTGCTTTGCACAGCCAGGCTGGTCCTGCAGTGCTCAGGGTTGTTTCCTACAAACTGGGCAAGAGAAAAACATCACCCTCAATCAAATCCATTCTCTCTCATTCATATAAATCTGGGAACATACCTATAATTTGCTTTCTGGTATTATTTGAGCTATTAAGTGCCAGTAGTGATGTTAGAGATGTTACATATGTCATATGCTGCATATGTGGCTGTTATGGGAAGAAGGTGAGTTGGTTTATGGTGATGAATTTGGTTTTAATGTCTTTACAAAAGCAAAAGGATCGTTGTTTGGGTGTAGATAAGGATATGAACCAAAATCTTCCTGGCTGGAACTTCTGGTGTGTTCCTTCAGGTCCACAAATTTCATAATTATAAGGGAAAAAACCAAAAGTCATAAAAGTATAAGGTCACCCTAAGCACACAAGATTTCCTGTGTCTTTAGCCAGCAGTGAATTTATGCTTTATACCAAATATTAAATCTTTAACAATTTGTCCAAAACCTTTGTGCAGAAACAATGTCCTACAAGAGTCATGCTGAGAAAGAATCTAAATGTTCCATTAGACCTTGAAAACTTTGTCTTTTGTGCTCTTGTTTGTTATCAAATTTGGTCTGAAAGGCAGAGGGTTGTAATTCACATTGTAAAATGACCTCATTGTTCTCTTCCTGACACTAAAGCCTGTGGTGGTTTGTAATGTGAGCAAAGAATTATGTCAATACAATATTTTTGCACTCATTCTGTCCTCACTCTCTGTTCCTTTCATCAGCTTTTTATAATCCTAGAAAGAAGATTCTGTGGGAATCAATTTGGGCTTCTTGTTCAGGGATGGAGAGAGGCAAATGTTTTGTTATATTTTTATCCTATTTACAGTTCTTAGTACAGTTAAACTTTTACCAGTGAATGGACACACCATAAAGATATAAATAGTTTTATTGGGAACTGCTCTTCTAACAGGGAGCACTAACAATTGCTTTATAACAGAGCGAGGGGAGGACAGAGAACACTTCCTACAACACTGCTTTAAAATGTAAGGATAATTGGGTGGAAAATGGATAAGAAATTAAAAACAACAATAAGGATACACTCAGTTGTTAAATCTAATAATTAACATGCCTGAATTAGGCTATGTGCTGCCTTCTGACAGCTGCTGCTGGAGGTTCTCCTGGTCATTAACAGTCAGAATTCCTCCCAGCCACCTGAAAATATGGAAACATGGAGCATTTATCTCTTTGCTTCCCCGGATGGCAGTGGGACATGGCAGCTCTGCTGCTGGAAGATGATGTTGGTGCTGAGGTTGTGCTGTAAGAGCTGATGTCAGGCACTGAAAAATGACCTGCTTCATCAAATCCCTTTCTTAAATTAGCCCGTAATCTCAGATTAAAAACCTCCCAGTAAAAAGCTCTGGCTGCTGCTGGCTCTGAAATTATACAATCCTTAGTTTAAATTCATTAAATAGTTATGTGGAAAGGGGAGCAAGCCATCTGTAATAAGCTAAAATTGCTGACACAGTCCTCATAATAGGTTCTTTCCCAGAGGTTTTTATTGCAGTTATATAAGAAATCATCGACTTAGGAAGTTCAAAGAAACTTTCAAAATAGATCTGTTTTTTTTTTGGTTATGTTTTCTGAGCGATGTAGCAGGAGACCATGAAGATATTGCTCATAATAATTAGAGCTGTGAAACCTTGGGAGCAGACGCCTGGGGAAAAGGGGAACTTGGTTATTTACAGAAAGTTTGAAGAATCCTTTAAAATGGAGGAACGTTTGAAATCCAAGTTAAAGTGGCCACTGCTTGGGAATTACGTTAGTTAGGCCTTTAATCTTAATAATAATTATAGAGGATGATGTGCAGATCTCAGCTACAAAATCACAATGCACTTGCTCGATGGATTTTTGGGTTCTCTCTCATCACACAACAGGTGATTCCAGAATGAACCCAGCGGGATTTACAGCATGGATAGTTCCAGGATGTAACTAAAGCACATGGATTTGCAGCCTGGAGCAGGAGGTGGTTTCCTCAGCCTCCAGCCCGAGCCCCACGTCCCAGTACATCACACAACTGACAGCCCTCCCATGTTGGACCAGCAGAGTGATGGTGGAAATGAGATCTGGGAGCAGGAGGGGCCTGGAGGGTTTCTTGGGGTTGTTCTGAGCTGAGAGAGAGAGAGAGGACAACGTTGGAAATGAGCTGGGGAAATGAGCTGGTTCATAACTCCTTCACCTTTCTGAGGGAGCCACGGAAAAAACACCACTCGGGGGACTCGACGTGCTTTGTTTCATTATTCTTGTTACAACAAACACTTAAATAATGCTTTTTTTTTTTTCAGCTCAGCTGTCTCCTTCACTGCAGGCAGCAGTTCCTTATATTCCAGTCTGTCCTCTTGCTCACACATCCATTAATATTCACGCTGGCCCAATGCTCCAGTTCAGCGTGGAAAAGTCCTGAGAAATGATTTCTTTCCCGGGCTGCAGAACTCACTGCCAATGACATCCCGACCTCTGGAGAGGCAAATTCATTAATTTTGGCAGAAAAATCACAATTTCTGCTTTGAAAGTATTGATTTCCTGAGAAAATACTGAAATGCCTTGTCATTAACACCTCTTTAGACATCTACAGCAAGGTACCTCTAGGTCCTTTAGACAAATTAACTAGAAATGCTGCTCATTTTTTTGGACAGAGCACATTCACAGTAACCACAGGACACCAGTTAAATTTTTTTTTCAGCCCCATCCATAAATAAAACTTTTAGGATAAGGAAAAAGCATCCAATTTGCTCAGGAGAAAGTCTGAATACTCAATGAACCTCACACCAGGCCAACACTCAGTGAAGATCAGTTCAGCAAAATCACGTGACAGTTGTGTTTTTATTTCTGTTTTTCTTTATCATTTCATCTTTATCTAAATGTGGAAGCGAGGAATTTCCAGGGAAAATAGTAATATTATTATATGTATTTTAAATTAAAGTTACCAGAACACAAGATCAGAGTTTCATAGGATTGCAAAATGGTTTGGATTGGGAGGGAGCTTCAAGACCATCTCATTCCACCCCCTGCCATGGGCAGGGACACCTTCCACTAGCTCAGGTTGCTCCAAGATCCATCCAGCCTGGCCTTGGACATCCTCAGGGAGTTACAGTTCTTTTTTATCCATGAAATTATTTATAGTTCCATTCTGTGAAGAATGTTACGAGGTAACTTCGTTTTGAGGATTGGGTAACTTAGTTTTAAACGGATTTTTTTTTTTGCCCCTAGCCAGTCATGGTTTTATCTAGTTCTAGTTAAAAAATCACAGCTTTTGATTTTTTTTTTTTTTACAATTCTGGCATTTATGAGGTTTCAAATGTGCCAGCAGTTAACCTTTATGTGACAATGAGTGAAACCTCTGCAAACATGTGCTGGTTCATTTATAATTGTATCTGCATTAAGAGCTCAAGTTTAAACCAAACAGTTGGAATCAGTGTCCCAGAAATAACTTCTTTTCAATATTTGGTGTCAGTCAGTATTAAGGACTGACTGATTATTCTGTAGCTTAAAAATTCTTGGCACAAACTTTGGGACATGCTGAGGATCTGGAGGAGATAATCTGTTTGATGGATGATTTATCTCAGCTCTAGGCCTGTGTTATCCTTAATTTTATAAAAGGGAGGAGGACTAATAACGCCCATGGGATTGTTCATAGTGCCTGACATTTGAAGAGGTGAAAAAGTCTTTGAGTAATTGGAATTGCAGTTTGAAGTAGTGTGGATGTCCTGTCACTCCTCCTGACGAGCTGAGATTGGAAGGACAGCTTTCTTATCCGGGACTCCAACGTTTAGAAAGGATCTGCCATTTATTAATCCCAAGATCTCCACACTCCAACCTCTGTGAGATGGGGAAAACTCTTTTTATTCCACCTGTCCCACCTTCACATTGAAACTGCTCTTGTGTGGAAAATAATAAGATGGGTTTGGGTGTGTTTTTCAGTCATACAAATTCACTTCCTCTACAATTCAGAGCTGGGGATGCACAGGGTCTTCAAGTACCCAAAAATATCTGATTTTTTCTAGGTTAACATGTTGAACAGTGGAGTGATCTTAGTCCTTCCCTTGAAAATTCCAGAGGTGTATAAAGCTAACATAAATTTCCCCAAATTATTAAAATTCAAAAAGCAAAAATTAAAATTCGAACTGCAGAGTGAACACGAGAATTTGGGAGGTCTGGGAGTGTTTTACGGAGCTGCTGCCAGGGGATGTGATGTAAAGTGCCCTCCTGAGCAGAATTCCAAAGGTTTTCTTAATCCATCACAACAGAGGTGATCTGTAGTGATGCCTTCTTGAAAAGTCAGCCCAAAAAAACCTGCACCACAGGATGATGATTCTTTTAGCTGCATGTTTTAAATAGGAGATATTTTTGGAATACTGAAACCATTAAAATCTGCTTTAGGTACCTGTGCTAAATATGGTTAACTGGCTCCACTTGTTAAATTTCTTTCCATTTATGACAGAAGATGGGGAAGAAGAAAGGAAAAGGATCTGTTAATTCTGTAGCACCTTTTTTTTTTTAAATGACCTTTTTTGATAGATGTTTTGTAATTGCTGAAAAAAATTGTCAATATCAGTATTTTTTAAAAGGTTTGGCAAAATACACAGTAAATATTCAAATATTACGTGGACTTTCTGTATAAATTGGGTCATGGTTAATAACTTAGAGACTTGCTGAAACCAGAATGTTTTGTATTGCACAGGATATTTTTATATTGCAGCATATTGAAGTGTATCTGGGAACTGAGCAATCCCAAATTGTGGAGATCCTTGTGGACAGCATGAATCCACCTCCTGGGTGGGTAAGGAGAGCTGGGCAGAAAAATTGCTGTGTGAACTCTGCCAACATCGATGACACTGAAATATCTCCTGTAATAGAGGTCAGCAAACCCCCAGAAAATTGCTTTATCATAATTTTTCTTATCCACTTTCTAGTCTTGACAGAAAAGAGAATTGGATTGTTAGATCTGAGGTATTATAAAATAGAGATGTCACTGGTTTAGGGCCACATAATGTAGGTTTTGTGCAGGTGTGCACTTACAGTATTAATGCAAAATATATTCCGGGCCATTAGTTAAATTTCACTTAAATACAGTGTATTTATGGAATTAAATGTGAATTCAAATGGAGACTGACTGACAAATGACTGTTGGGGTGATAGGGAGAAGAAGGAGCCTACTTTAGGGTTTTGCTTAGTGAAAACGAATAAGACTTTCATCTGCCAGTATCTGAAGGGGTTAAAAATTGGGAGAAAATGATCCTGCTGGCAGAATAACCAAGGGCTCACAAATAAACAGAGACTGGGAGGAAGATTAATTTTAATTGCCCAAGGTGAGAGGCTTCAGATCTGTCTGTCAGTGCTTGTGGTGGTGTAAAGGTCTCAACGTTTTGACTGATCTGTGTGGGCAGCTTTGGGGAGGGTTGTACTGCACAGGTGACACCCCTCAGGCTGGGGGGGTTTGTTGGCATCCTGGCAGCAGAAAGCCCCAGTTACACCTGTCATGAATTTACAGCAGAATGAGGATCAAATTAATCCAGAGGAGCAATCCCAGAGGGCTCTGAGGTGGTTGGAGCAGCCAAATGTGGCCCGTGGGCACTCCTTGCTAGTCCTGGTCTCTGGAGGGATGGAAGGATTCCAGGTTTGCTGTGTTGAGCAGGTAGAAGTCTTGGTTTTCCAAGAACACTTTGTGTGCAGAGGTGGAATCAGGAGGACTTAAATCATGGGGTGAAGAACAAAAGCCCTGATGGATTTTGGCTCAGATAAGGAAGCTTGCCTTCAAGAGAAAGATGGATGCAGAAGGCCTTATGGATCTGTGTGGAATTCCACTTGAGTTGTCCCCTAGGGCTCATATCTTGTGTTTAGGTGGCTAAACCCAGCTTTGAGCTCAGCCCTGCTCCTACAGGAGCAGTTTCTGGATAAAGCAAGTGGATGATCTGCCGTAATTCCTGCATGGTCCAGCTCCCACTGGAGGGAAGGGCCATCTCAGCACTGCAGAGTCTTACATCCTCCTGCAGAGATGGTCCTGTTAGTGAGGATGGGGAAGCTCCCTAAAACTGTGCAACCCTGAAAATTCCATGGCTTTTCTGTGGCATCCATGGCTTTTCTCTCCTTTGCACTGCACAGGACTTGCTGTTTAATCTGTGAGGTTTTGGTCCTGGGAGTGAGAGGCACCAAATTCCTGGTGGGATGTGGTGCCAGACTGGTTGTGGCTGATTAGCAAATGTCACCAAGGCCTCTGCTATTCATGGATCATCATCCAGAAGGATTTGGGGCTCCCAGTGTGCTCTTTTGTACTCTTGAGTGTGGTCCTGCAGGAATTGAGGTCAGTGGTGAAGCCTGAAGCATCCCAGTGAAATTGTGGTATCACTCCCAAGAACAGCTCTGTAAAATTGAAAATAATGTCATGGCATTCTGCATTCCATTTTTTTTCCACTTCAAATGCAACAGCTCTGGAGATTAAGAGAGTCATTTCACTAAAACCAGCCCTGCTAACTCCTACTTAGATCTTTAACTCACACTTGGATCTGAAAGTCACGGAGGTCTCCTTCTGGTGCCCTGTCATCAGTAATAAATGCTTTGCAGTCCCCAGCTTGCACCTTGCATGGCCTCATTGCCTTCAGTGGGTTGATCAGATGTAATTAATTCACTCCAGAGTTGTTTAATGATGCATAAGAAGGAATAGATTCAAGCTCAATCTCGTAACTGCTTTGCCTCTGAAATCTTAACAGGATTAAAGCACCATTAAAAAAATCCAAGTAGTTCTGTGAGCAGTGAAACTAATGAAGCCAGGATTCCTATGGATTTGTGTCTTTTGCTTGATTGACTATTTAACTGATTTATGGGAAGATTATTTTATCTCTACATACACCTCTAATCCCTTTCTGCTGAATATTTTGGCAGTTCCACTCTGCTCGCTGCAGAAATTCCCCAGTAGGATCAATAGTTATTAGGACAAAATTGTTCAAAACCTGGCTCCTCTTTTACCTAACCCCCTGGCTTTAGAAAATTGAAACACTTCAGTTTTTTTCTTTGCATCTTTGACTGCTACATTTTGATGGGAAAAAGCACTGAGCTTTTTCAGGAGCTCGATAAACCCTAATACCATAAAATAAAGATGAAAAAAAGTGACATAAAGAGTATGTTCTTTGAGATAATTCACAGGGCCGTGAGAATAAAAAGAAGCAATCACAGAACAATCTTGAAAAGTGCCAAAAGGATAACAGTATTAGAAGAAAATGTTTATGACTGAAACAAAGTTGTTGGGAGTCAGATCATGGATTTGGGGTGGGGAACCACACTTTTATTTTTACTAAATCCATTATTTTAAAAAGCTTTGGGAAATAGTTCTGCTTAAATAGAAGAGTAAGAATTAAATAAATGTCTAAAAAAGAATGTCACCAAAATATATAGGTCCTAAAAAATGCACTAATGAACCGGATAAACAGTTACCTGGGATGAAAAAAGCTTTTTATTAAATTTCTCTGGGTTTACCAGCTGTGAAAATAAAACCTGTGTCATTCAGGAATTTAATAAATCACATTTTAAATGTCATGTCACCACTCACTAGGTTTTATAAAACTCAAACTACCCAAGTAGTTAAAAAATCTTTAGAGCTTTATAGTTTATGAAACCCAAGAAATAGGAAAGTCAGGGATAAGCCAAATACGTGGGAATGAAAAAAAAAAAAGTCTTATTTCACACAGACAAGGAAAGGAATAGCATTTGTGTATGTATGTGTGTGTTCTTTACAACCTTTGTGCATATTCTGTATTATTTTTATTATTTATTGTAATTTTTTTCATGTAAATTGTGGGGGTTTCATGATTTTTTTGGTAATTCTAGAACTAGTCTTGAGCAACACTTTTCATATATAAAAATCCCAAGTCCTGAATGTTCATAACTCACTAAAAGGCACTCTCAAGGTGTAACCATAACTAGAGAGTTACTTATATTAAAATTATATAATTTCTTGTGTATGTGCTTTGCAGTGACAGCAACACCCACATTCAAACCTGTAAATCTGCCATAATTTGGGGAGTACAAGTTTTACAATCATGGCTCAGATTAGAGCAGACAGAGCTTGTTAAGTTCAAAGTCATTTGTCTATTTTGCTGTTTCTGATTCTTCACTCCAGGAGAGTTTGGACTGTATTAATGTGCTTTTTGTTCAGCTGGAGGAAAATTCATTACAGACTAATTCAATAAAAATGGGTAATTTTAATCAACTTGATGTATTTCTCCTTGGTTACTATATTACAAATCAATAGTAGTAAATCCATAGTTAAGACTTGCAAGCTGTTGCATAAAGATCCAGTGACTTGTGTCTCAGGGTCTTGAATTAAAATGGAAAGAAAGAGCAATGAAAGTTTAATGTCTGAATCCTTCCAGTGAAAAGATATTTTTCTTTTCTTTTCAAAATTCTGTGATGGATACAGAAACGAGCTCTAGAATTTTTTAACTTAAAAACCTCAAAGTAATTAGTTTATTTGTTCCTCCCTGATGGATTCTCTGCCCCTGCTTTGAACAGCCTTTCCATGGATTTCTGTGAATGAAATGTAGGGGCAGAATTTGGGGGCTGGAGGTGAAAGGTGCGGGTTGAATGGTGATGATTTATGTCCTTTAACTCCCCTCTTTTGGGAATTTGTTCTTTTAGGAATCTCAGCAAAGCAGTGGATCTCCCAGCCAGCCAGAGAAGGATTTGAAGGTGTCTTTCAAGGTAAGTGTAAATATGTAAAATTAAAAAAATTTGTTTTATCTACGTGAGATGATTTTTGAGAAAACAATTGCAGTGGATTTTTTTGGTTGATATAAAAGATGAAACCTGAGGTGAAACTGGGAGACCAGAACTTGACTAAAATACGTCTCTTACAGAGAATTCCCCCTAATTAAATTGAAAAGTTGGCACCTTTGTCAGTCCTAAACGTTGCAAAGAGAATAATTTATGAATCCTGGCAATCCCTGTTTAACGGTACAAGGTTCACAAGGTGCATTTCCTGCACCTTTTGAGATCAGATCTCGAGAACTAAGACCTGGAATTCTTAAAAACAAGCAGCACAAAGTTATTTTCAGGTTGGCAGCTTTCCGAGATGAAGATCAGGACAGTCACATTCCACTGGTGTGTCTGTCCAGGAGGTACTAAATGAATTGGATTTGTTGCTTATTGTTCATGTTTCTTCCTGTGTGAGTTTTTACAAATCATGGCCACATTCCCAGATATCCTGAAAATACAGGAGTGACAGATTTTATATGTTTTACATACAGGTCATCAAAGTTAATTACATGAAATGGAACAATCCCCTGATTTAATCCCTGCATTGAGTTTATTTAAAACAAAACCATTTGTGAGATGTGAGGTAGTTTTAGGATTCTTTTAGTCAATTCCTCGATGCTGAATGGCAAGAGAATCAATCTGCATTTTGGTTTTGGAATAAACCTCAGTTTGCAGACACTGGTAAAAATTTGCTTTTTTCCTAATTAATGACTTCATTCAAGAGAGTACTGAAATCAGAAATTACTGCTGATAATTAAAAAATAGACAAATAAGCATTTGGGAAGGAAAGAAAAAAGCTGGAAACAAATTTAAATTTAATCAATTAATTAGAAAAATTAAGACACCCTGATTTTGGTGATATTGTTTTAACTGTTAATGGGCTGAGAGAGGAGACGTCAAAGATCCTCTCCAATATTAAGGTGAGACTTTTTTTCAGTATTTGGGCGATATTTATCACTGAAATCAAGATTTTTCTTCTTGTAAAGAGGAAAAAACAGAGTCAAAGATCTCTTTAAATCTATAAAAAATGGAAGACTTTGATCTCTTTTTTTTTTCTTCAAAGAGAAACATGTAATGCTGGACACGGAGTTTTGTTTGGCTCAGCACAAGTAATCGAGTTGAAGACATGAAAATATTTATTGGCAGTTAAAAAAAAATAACAACAGAAAAGAAAAGAAGAAGAAAAGAAACAGGTTTGGTCATGATTTGTGTGCCTGAAAATTGTTAAAATCTCACTTGTAGTGTTAAATATGATGCAGAGCAGGAGCAGGTCTCTCTGTATTTGGAAGAGTTGCCCTGTGGGACAGTGCAAGGCAGGTGTCTGTGGGTTATCCCCTGGAGATAATATTCCTTGCAGGCAGGGTGGGCTCATCCCAAGGGATCAGACAATTCCCCCAGCCCTTCCATAAACCTTCCCTGGCCAAGCTGAATTAAGACAGACAATATTGTTTTCAGCCCAGGAAATCATTTGTGGGGGAAATGTTGAGCTCTCAGTTTATCAGCAGAATGAAGTGGTGAGGAAAGCACACGGTGGAAAGTTTATCAAACTCCCAAGTAATTGAAAGGAGCAGCAGTTTGAGAGGTGGGTGGCAATATTTCACTGGGCTTTGATGCAAACTCAATTCTGCTGCTCGACTGGTAGTGATTTTTACAAGGTTTTAATAAGGGGACATCTGTGACTGTAGCCTTAGCAGAGTTCATGTCCTTTATAGCATCAATAATTTACAATAATTCAATAGGGACCCACAGAATATAAAACAATCCTAGTGGAAAATGACTTTATTGGAACCATCTTCTGTGGCTGAAGATTCTTTTAAGTGTCTGGTTTCAATGAAACACGAAATAACGTATCCATTATACTTTTATCATTGCACAAGAGAAAACCTTGTTCAACAGTCTTTTGGTGAAGAGAGTTGTTACATTTCACTTGCTTTAGTGTGAGGAGAACAATTTCTCATCTTTGGGCTGCTTCTGAAAAATTTCCAGTGTGACTTGAACAGGAAAGCATTTAATAATTTACATAATATCTATTTTAAAACATGTGCCTAAAGAAGTGCCTGAGATGTTGTTCAGATAGTGTTCAGTAAAAATGCATAGACTCACTTCTAATCTTGGTCACATCCTCCATCCTCCTAAAAGCAGAAGATTTCTAGGGATTTTAATAGAATAAGCTTTACAAGGGAAGAATTTGGAGCCTGATGTGTCTTACAGCACCTCAGCATCCTCTGAGTACAACCAGGACTTGGGGCTGCTGGTGCATGAGAGGTTGGACATGAGCTGGATTATCCTGAGCTGGCCCTTTCCAACCAGGCCATTCCACGATTCTGGGACATGGATGGAGGGGCAACCCCTGTATTTGAATCTCAGAAGTGCTGAAACCATTGTTGTCACGTAATACTTGATTTTATCCTGCTTTCTGAAGAATTAAACAACCATTCTCTACAACTTTTTGTCTCCATGTGAACTTCCTGCTTTCCCCAGTTTTCAATCTGTTTATCAGTGTTGTCTGAAATTGAGAGAAATACCAGTATTTTCTATAAATAATAATCCAGACAGAGGAATGAAATCATGGAAATATGGAATGGTTTGGGTTGGAAGGGACCTTAAATTCATCCAGTTCCACCCCCCTGCCATGGGCAGGGACACCTTCCCCTATCCCAGGTTGCTCCAAGCCCTGTCCAGCCTGGCCTTGGACACTTCCAGGGATGGAGCAGCCACAGCTTCTCTGGGCAACAGATCCTTTTACAGAAACCACCGGGATAAAGTCTGTGGTTGTGTTCAGCCTCTGTTGTTCACCAGATAAACTACATGAGAGATCATCCTCAGACAAGTGCTTGGAAATTAGTTTGTGTTATTCCTGCTTTTCCCACAGTTTCTTCCTTCATGATTCTCTTAATCACATGAAAACCCAAATAACAAGCAAAATGTCATCTGTGCTCATGTATCCTTAGTTATTTGACATATATCCTGATCTATTTTATATCTTTTTGGCAATAATTCAGTTGTCTTTAGATCCCTTCAACCTTTCAGGAGGCTTTATTTGGTGTTAATTCTCTCTGAAATCAACTGAGTTTGCCAAAGAAATTCTGAAGGTTAGAAATCCATTTCTAGTCTCCTGGAAATCTTTTCATTTTCATTGTTGTCACAAGGCTTTTTCTACATCCCCTTTACATAAGTTAAATTAAGAACATAGGTCTAGTCATAGTCGTAATCAATTTTCTGATTCTGTAGAGAAGGGAAAAGTGCTGGAGCATTAACAATTTTTAAAAGTACATTTAAATCATTATTCATTTATAGGGTTGCATTAATTTCTGAATAATGCAGCACTGGAGATGGATGATTCACTGCGATGTAAAGTCTTTTGTAGTCATTTAGAGCCTCATTATATGAATCTATCACTCACTGTTTCCACCCACAGACATTTCTTGAACTGATGAGGCAAAATCATTATGATGCAGATAAAAGGGAGAGCCTGGCAAAACAAATACAACAACAGTTTTAATTAGGCTAATGTTTTTAAATTCCCACAAGGTTATAAAAGCACACTTGCAGCCGTTTCAAACACAAATGGATCAGGGCTCAATCCTTCCCAGTCTGAATACGGGATTGAATCCAACTGCAGCACCAAGCAGTGATTCCAGCTCTTCCCAAAAACGGGCCTCTGGTTCAGCAGCTGCAGGAGAAGTGGCATATCCAGGTCGGTGGAGGAATTTGCTGACTCAGTACATAAACCTGCAAAAGCCTTGATACCCCAAAATGAACAAAACTGAACCCAAAACAAAGCAGTAAAGGCAGAAAGAGTAAAAACCTGTGGGTCCCAGAAAGCACAGATAGGTGGAGGTTGGCTCCAAAGTGCCAACTCACACGTTGCTTCTCTTTATTTCTATTTGATTTGCACAAAGGCTTCTTTTTCTATTTGTTTCCTCAAATAATGACGGTCGTGCAGTGATTTTTTTTCTACTTTGTTTTTGTCTTTTGGAAATCTAATCCTTTGTTAGAGGTAGGACTGTGTTATTAGTGGAAACACGAGCCTGTTAAGGGAGGCTGAAGTGCTTCATCAAGCAGAAATAACGTGTTTGGTTTCATTTCCCTCCCCGTGGAGAAGATTAGAGTCATGAACAAGTTAGGGTGAGGTACAACCAAGGGCTTTGATGAAAAGAATGGAAAAAAAACCTGCTAAATTTGATATGAACATTTTTTAGATCTTTATGAGGTGTTTGGTGAGCCATTTTTTACTTCTTAATTTGTGTGCACTTAACAGTTTTCACGTTGAAATTATAAGGAGTTTCTATGCAGCTTCTTGTGAGCAGTTCTTGTTTAAAGAAAATTTTACTTATCAGGCAGAGATTTTTTTTCTTTTCTACTTGTCTGTGTTCCCTTAAAAGGTGAAGGATTTCATTCTTTAATTTCTGACTTAACAATTCACCACATCTTTTACTGTAAACACACCCTAATGCTTAAGACTCTGCCATAAGTCTGTGTGGCTACTGGTTGTTCTGGAGCTGGTTTTTATCTTATATCATAGATTCATGGAATCACAGAATAGTTTGGGTTGGAAAGGATCTTAAAGCTCGTTTTGTTCCACCTCCTGCCATGGGCAAGGACACCTTCCATTAGCCCAGGTTGCTCCAAGGCCTGTCCAGCCTGGCCTTGGACACTTCCAGGGATGGGGCAGCCACAGCTTCCCTGGGCCTTTTGCAGGGAAGAATTCTGTCCTAATATTCCAACTAACCCTTCTCTCTGTCAGTTTGAAGCCATTCCCCCTTGTCCTGTCACTCCATCCTCTTGTAAGTAGTTGTTCTCCGTCCTTCTTGTAATTTGTGGTGCCTCTGACTTACTGCAGATGTACCCAAATACCTGCTCCTCAAACAGGCTTCAGAACCTGTTCTATGTCTGCTTCTAGTGATTCCTCTGGGGATGACTCCCACATCCTTGGACAGTAAGGA